ATGTCTGTAAGTTTATTTGCTTGTGGTTTGGAACGAATTGAATTAAAACTTTCAAAAAGAAAAAAAGATCCATTGATTTTGTTAGTTGTTGAATGGAAACAACAAACACTCTTTCTTATAATTTAATAGGCTGTAGTTACGGTATTACATTTTTTCGTTTTTGAAAAAAAAAAGCTCATGTCTTTTTCTTCTCTTATAGACTTTTCTATCATTTGTATATTTATTCATGAACCTGCAAGCTCATGTTTTTCACATTAGCTTTGTTCCGATTTATTCAGTTGATATAGTAGTCCGTTAATTTTCCTTGAAGTGACAGGAATGAAGATAGACTTTTATTATAGGCTTTTAAATTTTCCTTGAAGTACCATGCATGAAACAAATCAAGGATATGTAGGTATGACTTTCAAAATACATGGAAATACCTAGAAAAAAATTGAGCATATGCGTCTCGAACATACATGCATATATCTGGCACTCATTCCGAGTTTGAGTAACATAGGGCTTAGTTGATAGCTATACAACCTAGACTGAGGTGGATTTGTAAAACAATTCATTTTGTCCTTAGCCTATAGGATGATCATATGATACAGTATGGGTTCTGGCATTTGAAAAGCTTTCAAATGTACTTATAGGGAGAAAGCTGCTGATGGTTTTTAAACTTTTAATATCATCAGCGTTAGCTTTTCTTTTTTGTCCACCATGTGTTTTTTTTTTTGCAAAATATTTTTCTCCTTATCATTATACTTATTAGATGCATCTTTGCTGTGTATTTCTTATAGTTTAAAGTGAGAGATATGGAGGAAAATTCTTCGTCAGCTATATTAGATGGTGAGATAACTGGTGTTAACTTCCTAAAAATGTTAATTTTAAGTCATTTTTTACTTAAGTTATTATTTGTTTAAAAGTTCATTTTAGGTATTTTAGGATCATGTAGTTGCATATAGTGCATTTGTGGTGGTTGTGCTATTTTATTTCTTAATGGTGTTGTTTGAGGGAAAGGTGCAAGTTTGTTTGTGGTGTGCAGGGAATAGCAAGAAAAATGATTATTTGGGAAGCAATGTCGCGGCATCATACGTTGCTAAAGCAGATTGAAATGCCTTGGCATTTCCGGCGCAGAAAAAGACAAAAAAAAATTTCTGCATAAGGACACTGTCTCTGCACGTGAAGGACTGTTGTAACCGCCTGCCAGAGCTGCCAAAGGACCACTGCTACTTGGAGGATAAGGTTCACACCCAACATGTGATTCTAGGGGTATGAGGGGTATTTTGCACCCAACAACCTTATCATTACCCCTAGATATTTTTTATTATATATGACACCTCAGGGGGGAGAGAAAAAAAAAAAGAAAGGAGGAGGACACATACAGTAGCAAAAATCAGATTTTTATTTTTCCTTTTCCCTTCTTCTTCCTTGGGATATTCCTCCATTGATAAAGCTCCAAGGAGTGGCGAGCTAGGAGCTAGCGAGCTAGGTGGTTCACGGTGGCTGAGAGGAGACCTTTGGTGGCGCGTCGAAGGCTTCTTCTCAACTTCCCTTTTTACTGCTATTTTATATTTATTTGTGGGTTGTTGGAACAAATATTTTCATGACTTTGTGTTTGGATATTTTGAACCCCACCATGAACTAACTTATTTGGTGGTGGTTGATTTAATGGTTGTTTGAACTTTATTTTTAATGGTATATTTAAGTTTATTTTGGTTCTTTATTTGCTTTGCTTATGAATGCTTCACCATCTAGGCTTGTAAGAGGCATGTAAATGTCCATTTCTTAGATGAAGATTAGGTATTCAGAAGAATCCTAAGTTAAAAATACTTGTAAGTATTCGGAAGAAACGAAAGATAAGATCTTCATAAGCAATGTGTTATAGTATTTTCAAGGGGCTTTGAACCGGCCTAGGAGTATTATAATCTAATCCCTTAGATCTCGGAAGAGACTAGGATAAGATTTCAACGACTAAAAAGGGTGTCTTTATCAATAGGGTAGGTTGTCCAACATCGTTGAGTGAGAGCAGATGCCTTGACATCCTATTCTGTTAGGTTCTTTAGAACACTTTAGGAAAGTCCTGTTGAGTAAGTAAAGACCAGTTAGCTTAAATATACTTGAGAAATAAATTTAGCATCCGTAGATCAATCCCTACCATTCATTCTCTTGGAGGCTTGTCACGTGAGGATTATTTTCTTTTTATTTTATTTTCATTTTATTTACTGTTTTTACCATTTTTCATTGCCTTGACATTTCACCATACTCAACATCAAACATCCATCATTGCCTTTGCATTTCCATTTGCTACACCATCAGACCATCACTACATATCCACCAGCATACACATTTACATTGCCGTGACATTTGTATATATCAAGACTAACTATACTTAGATAGAATAGTGCATTGCTTTGGTTAGACTTTTGTAATTTCACCCAATCCCTGTGGAGACGATACTCACTCATCATTATATTACTTGAGCGATTGTGTATACTTCACATTACTTGCGTATAATTTATAGTACTCACAACACGCGAGCAACTGACATAAAGTTCTGCTTGGCAACTCCTAAAGAAATCGTAAATTGAAATATCTTTTTCATTTATCTATTCATTAGTTTGTTTCCCTATGCCAATACTCTTCCCCTTGGTCTGTTGGCATTTTGTTGATTGCGTCATATGATTTTTGGATGGTCTACTATTTTACTGCTCCCTTCCGTTCCTATTTGGCTCCTGCAAAGGAGTTAACTCTGGTATATATACATGCTTCTTGTAACTAGTTTTAGCATCTACACCAGGAAATCGAGAGCTTTAACAACAGTGTTTTCTATGAAAAATTAATTTTGATGCATTAGGGTTTATCATCTAGAAGTGGACTAAACGCTCTCTCTTTCTCTCTCTGTTATGCAATAGTTCTTTCATTGATGCTAATTGACTTTTTCCTTCCAAAATTTATTCACAGCTTACAGCATCAATCACTGGCTTTCCTATTAACCATGTTAGTCAGCTCTCAAATTCCTACCTTGGTTTGCCCCTTGAATTTGGTAAATGTTGTGCGTGTGGTGCATCCGAGCCTGGTCAATGTGAAGGTGCTTACTTCTGTCCCAGACAATGAAAATCGGAAACAACAATAATATTTTTTTTTTTGATAGAAATGAGAGGTCTCATTAAAAATCCCCTTCATAACCATCAAGATACTAAAATAGTTCGACGGACATTGGAAAGAAAAAGTCTAACACCCTTAACCGTACCTGACATGGATACGAATCCAAAGTGTCACATTGATGTTTCAAAACATTGACTCTTAATAATAGGGGAAAATTTAAGCTTTTATTTGTATTAGTGGTATTTTGAATTAAAGTAAATAATAAAAACTCGCATTAATATTTAATAATTCACATAAATACAAAAAGTATAAATTTACAAAATAGATCAGAGCATTTAATTTAAACTAAAGCTTAGGGTGATTTTTTTGTTCTTTATTATCTTAAAGAACTAAAGCTCCCATGATACAACTTATTTTCCTTTCGACTGTGCATTATGTGTGCGTATTAACACTTGCTGATATTCGATACAGGTCATGTTACATTTTATGCTTTCTGATCCTTGTCTTAAATTTGGTTTTGTAAGCATCTGCCCCAAAACCGATTATTAATAGGTGGAGAGGCCCAATTTGATTATAAGACTCGGGAAAAACATGATTGGACATAAAGCTATCAGCTTGACAAGTTCCGATTTCATTCTATGCAAGACCGGTTCGAATTTTCTCGTGATGCTTGATTTTGGAATAGGTTACTATGAATGATGGTTTTCATTTTCGTAATATATTCGTTGGTGGTTTACAATGTTTTACTGATTAGTATATTAGTGAATACATCGTATAAACAGATCTTATTATATATTTTATGTCTAAGGAGAAAGGAAAGGATTAACCAACTATTTGTGTATTTCACTTGATATGGAACAGGTAAACAAGAACACCAATTTCCCGGATACCAGGTGCATCTATGTTGTCACAACTGATGGTCATAAGCAAGAGTTCTCGTATCGCAAGTGCTTGGAAAACATGATCAAGGTGAAATATCCTGATTTGGCAGAAGAGTTGGGAACCGTGAACGAAACGTTGGTCTGGAGAATTCTCAATGGAACCCTCGAGAGGATACGGAGGGGGAGAATAGGCAGTAGGGCATCTGTCATGCCATATTTTGTTCATTCCTGATGCATGAAACTTTTGATTTGTACATATAAAACAGCTGTTTAGTGTGTTTATTCCCCTCAGGAAAAATGAAACTATACATCCATAGATTCCAATATCAAACTGACCTCTTTTAATCCAACCATTATCAGTTCATCCATTCGGGTTATAGTGTTTAACTTATGTCGATACGACTCTTCGGTTTCTTGAAGTATTCGTGTTCGATATTTATTCAACATGTAAAAAAAATGCCATGGGTGTATGATTCGTCTCTTTTGGTTCTACAAGGCTACACCCTTTGGTATCTCGTAGTCGTATGGACTAGAATTATAAAAAAGAGTATAAAATTAAAGTAGAATTGGATCATTTTGTCTAAAACCATCAAAGTCTACAAACTATTTCACATGATTATATGTACTCTTCATATTATTTTTTATTTCTTATATTTATTTTATTTTTTATGATATAACATATAAAATAAATAATGTCATGTAAATATAAGTATATATAACTTCTCACTCGAGTTGTTATATTAATATTTTAACTAGTATTTCGGTTGAAAATAAACAATTTGACTCTTTTAGAAAAATTGATGGCTAAATTTAGTTAAAAAGAATAGGGATCAATTTGATACAAATGTAAATATTGTGGATTCGGTTTATTATTATGCCAAAAAAATTAATATTGCCGTCCAAAACCTAAAACTAAAATGGATAACATTAATCCAATCCATACAAGTACAACCTCTGTTCTCCAATCACATATCCACGTGTCAAAATGTGACAACTTAAGATGACAAAATTGTCACGTTATATATGGAGAAAACAAAGGGCAAAAACCAGTAATTCACTTCACTCTCTGGTGCTGAGAAGTGAGAAAAGATGGCTTCTTTGGTACTGAGTCAACTCGCTTTTCCATCAGAAAATGGTTACAAAGTGTGGGAAGATCCATCTTTTGTTAAATGGAGAAAAAGGGATCCTCATGTTACTTTGCACTGCCACGAATCTGTTGAAGGTTCATTCTTTTTTCTTCAATCAAAGTTATGATTTTTTTTTGGTTTTTCTTTTTAAATTTCCGGGTTTGATTCAAAAGTTAGTATTTCATTTACATATTTTTATTTGATTTTTTTTGAAGTTTTGATTTTTCACTCAGATCTTATGCATTGGGTTCTTCTTGATCTTTTTAAGTATTAATACTATATTCATCAACTTTTCCAATAAAATTTGTTATTTGGGTTTGCTTTGTTCTATTTATTTATTTATTTATGATTAGTTTTTGATTTTTGTACTGGCTTCATTTCAGCTTGAGTGAATTATTACAATTTTTTATTGTGTTTTTCAAGTTTTGGTTTTTTATTCTGATTTTATGATTTGGGTTCCTTTGATTTTGAATTAGAAATGATGATTGTACGATTAAGTTCACTATAAATCAATATCAAAATGACTCCAATTTTCTTCATTGATTTCGGATTTTCTTTTCACTGGGAATGTGTTTTCTAATTAGTTTCTTTAGTTATATGCAATTCAAGCTATCGAGTGTCGAATTTAGTTTCGGATTGATCAGATTCAATACTCTTTACCTTCGAGGGGTTTATTTTCTCTCTTCAGGTTTTTTTCTTTTCTGTTTTGCTGATTCTTAGATGTTAGCAAGTCCTTTTAAAACTACTTAGTGTTATTTAATCTGCTGTTATTTGAACTTGATTCGCTTAAGAAAATAATGTTGTTCGCATAGACATAGACATATACATTGAGATTTTATGTCTAAGTTTCATTTACTGGTTTCGACTTCTGAATTATGTTTTCTTACACAATGTTGCATTGACAGGATCTCTGAAATACTGGTGCGAACGCAATAAAGTGGAACTTTCGGTATCCAACTCGGCAGTTTGGAACGACGAAGCTGTTCAGAGCGCGCTCGACAGTGCGGCTTTTTGGGTCAAAGGCTTGCCTTTCGTGAAGTCTTTGTCTGGTTATTGGAAATTTTTGTTGGTTTCCAATCCTGCAGCTGTTCCAAAAAATTTCTATGAAAGCGAATTTAAGGATTCTGACTGGGAAACTTTGCCGGGTAAGATATGTTAACATGTTATAAACTTTGTCTAAGCTTCACTTTTGCTTTTCAACTTTAGTTATGTATTTCTAATCTGATTTTTGCTTGAAATTAGGTGGATTATTATTACTATCATGTTGAAATAATTTTTAAAAAAATGCCAAAATCTCTCTCTTTATAGCATTTACCTATATAAGCCATGTAATCCTGAGTTTACCTTTTTCTGGTGCCTAGTTTTGCATAGTTTTAAGTTTCTCTTTCGATAATTATTGACATAAACATATAAGCATTTGGGCTTCATTTCATTCTAACATGCAACTTTTGGCATTTATGGAACTTGGTTGTCGAAATTATTGGGCATGTATCTATGACATACGATTCAGGGATGAACTAATAGGAAAATATAAGCAGTTTAGTATTCATTTGTTTGATAATTGTTTACTGATATTTGCATATTTGTCAACTATTTTGTGTTCTGATTTTATTCTTATTCTTATTCTTGAGCTTCACGCCTTTCGGTTGTACTAGCCTTTAGTGTGATATTTCATTCTTATTTGTCTTTTAATTTTCCCTAAATAATGTTCAGTGATAAAAGTTTTATGTTTTGCAATTGAAACAGTTCCTTCCAACTGGCAATTGCATGGATTTGATCAGCCTATTTATACCAATGTTGTGTATCCATTTCCGCTTGATCCTCCTCATGTTCCTACCGATAACCCTACAGGCTGCTACAGGACATACTTCCACATTCCTAAAGAATGGAAGGGTATGATCTATTCAAATGTGTTCGTGATTTAGACTCTCTTTATTCCGTTAATATGTTTCAGTTGTCACTTTCATCTTTGGCTCCGCTCATATTTTGATCTGCACGCTGTAAGGAAACAGTTGTAGTTGTTTCACTTCCACATCTGTTTATTTATTCTTTTATTTATTTATTTATGTATTTCCCTCATATAAACATATGTTTTCCACATATCTATGTTACTCAGACCTGGTTTGTGTGTGAGTGTCAGATAGGGATAGGGATATATGTTTAACAAGGGTATGTTCAATTCTTTCTTGGGGTTTCCATGTCATTAGAACGTCTTTAGAGGGTCATATCACCATACCCATATTCGAAAATGTGTTGGACACAAGCACTTCTAGAAAAATGAAGATTCAGAGCAACATAGGTTATCATGGTTGTTATACACTCTTCTATTGCACATTCTACGATGACAAAATATTTATCATTTGGCAGGTCGCCGGATTTTGTTGCACTTTGAAGGTGTTGATTCTGCCTTCTTTGCATGGGTAAATGGAGTACCTGTTGGATACAGGTATGTAATATGTACATGTTGCAGTAGAAAATTATTTTATTATGTGAGGGAAAGCTTTGTCACTTAAAGAAATGCCATCATCCGAGTTTGACTACCCTTAATTTCTTGAGTTCTAGAGATGATGGAGAAGTGAGAAATTTGGGGGGGGGGGGGAGTATTCGTTTATAATTAAAATATTGTATTTCTAGTTAAAATAATGGTGTTGGACCTATTATTAAATTCGTTTCCATTGTGTTAGTTCAGTCAGGATAGTCGGTTGCCTGCAGAGTTCGAAATAACAGATTATTGTTATGATTCGGACAAGAAGAACGCCCTCTCCGTTCAAGTATTTAGGTGGAGTGATGGGTCTTACCTTGAAGATCAAGATCATTGGTGGTTATCCGGGATTCACCGAGATGTGCTTCTCCTTTCTAAGCCACAGGTTATCATCTTGCCATAGTCGTTACAATTGTTACTTGTTTAACTGTTATGGCAAGTCATTGGACAGTGGATGCCATAGAGAAGCACTTTAATAAATATATATATGTGGATCAAAGGAATTTGGAAATATACCAGACCCTAAAGCCATGTAACTCCAATTCTTCATCTCTCTTAAAATACCTGTGTTTGGGGATTTGAACCTTAAAGCTTTTTGAAACACCGCTTTATAGTTATAAACTGTGGTGCAACTGATTTCATTTTATATATATCCTTGCATAATTAAATGGAGCTAGCTCTTTTGCAGGTCTTCATTGCAGATTACTTTTTCAAATCAAACCTTGCTGATGACTTCTCCTATGCAGATATACAGGTAAGGTTGGTCTACTGCAAGAGTATATCCGGAAATTTTCAGGGTTTTTACTGCAAAAATTATACCTGTTTTAATTGAACTGGTTTGTTTGAGAATGCTGCAGAAGTTTCTAATTGATTCAACTGCCATAGCTGCAAATTTGCGGATCTGCATTTAAAAGTCCTTCATTTTGTCACCAGTGCTTTAGCAAAATAAGACCATTTTGACACTATATTTGAGCTATGTTCCTGATGTTATAAAACAAAGGGATGTTGGTCTGAGTCAAGGAGAAAAATAAGGAGTTGATATATAAACCAAACAATTGCGGAAAGCCTTCCACTTCATTCTATCATAAGATAGAAAATTTTGCATCTAAGAAGATTGGTGAAGCTTTTATCATTATTTACGAGGCTGTGCTTAACTCAATTGCTAAGTGGTTAAACTATGAGAAAACCTAATGCCTGATAGCCTTAGATTTGAATATTCTGTTAGGGCTTAAGCTCAAGTCTTTGGTGGAGTTGTCTACTTCCGATGTACACAAAACTACTGTAGCTGTTCATATACCTAATCTGTATTCTGTACCCTTATTGGTTTTGTTAGCTTATTACATCTTATTTACTTATTTATTTTTTATTATAAAAGAATGTTATATGATATAATATTGCATCATACACATTGCTCAGGTTGAAGTGAAATTAGATTACTCAAGAGAGACATCTAAAGAAACAGTTCTTACAGACTATGTCTTAGAAGCTGTATTATATGATTTTGGGAGCTGGTACAATCGCAATGGAAATGTTGATCTGCTCTCAACGAATGTGGCTAACATGCAACTCAACTGCTTCCCCACTCGAACTCTAGGATTTCATGGTAATATGCTTGAGGGGAAACTAGAAAAGCCCAAGCTATGGTCTGCTGAACATGTGAGATTCTACGTCAATTCAAATTTTTCTTCAATTTAAACTATATATATTTGATTAAACCTAAAAGCAGTGGCACGCTCCTTCCCCTGTTTTTATTTGTCTTGCCAGTCTAGGTTCTCCAACCATGTTAATCAAACTTGGGTGTGAGTTTCTGACATGAGTATGCCAGATTTTCTAAGTTTTTACATGTATATGAAGGATACTTGGAGGTATTATGTCTTATTCATGTTTCAGGTACGATTGCCAAATATGGGTACTTAAACAAAAATGAAAAGTCAGAGCAACATAGTTCCCTATGATTCTACTTCTGTTATCGCTTTCCTATGCCTTCTGGGGCTTCAATATATTATTTTCTCTCATTTTGATGAGATCGCATTAGTTATATATAAGTTATAGTTTATGTCTTGTGTTACTCGGACTAGATGTGTCAAACACATGTATACATTCAACATGGGTATGTTCACTTTTTCCAAGATTTCAATGTATTTGGAAGGTCCTTGGAGGATCATATCCTCGTACCCATGTCTGGATATTATGTGTTGACACAGATTTTAGACACAAGTACTTCAAGAAAAATGAAGAGTTGGAGCAACACAGTAATTATTCTGATTTCATCTGTTTTGTTTATTGCTTGCTTGTTTCTGTTTCCTGCAGCCAAATTTGTACACACTGGTTATCGTGCTTAAGGATGCATCGGGCAACGTAGTAGACTGTGAATCATGCCCAGTTGGTATAAGACAAGTATCAAAAGCCCCGAAGCAGCTACTTATTAATGGGCGTCCTGTTGTAATAAGAGGTGTGAACAGGCACGAGCATCATCCGCGTGTGGGGAAGACTAACATAGAGGCTTGCATGGTTAAGGTAATGACACCTTAATTTGTTGACTGTTATTACTTATTACCAAGTTGTTATCTCTATATTTGTTCGTTTTTTTTCCTTGCAGGATTTGGTTGTAATGAAGCAACATAATATAAATGCTGTGAGAAACAGCCACTATCCTCAACATCCCCGTTGGTACGAGTTGTGTGACCTATTTGGAATGTATATGATAGATGAAGCCAATATCGAAACACATGGTTTTGATCTTTCTGGACATCTGAAGCATCCTACACAGGAACCTATCTGGGCTGCAGCAATGATGGACCGTGTTATAGGCATGGTTGAAAGGGACAAAAATCATGCATGCATTTTTTCGTGGTCCTTAGGAAATGAGGCTGGATATGGACCTAATCATTCTGCTTCAGCCGGTACTACATTTTGCTATATACTTGTTGCCTTAAATGTTTGTAAACTACTTGAGCTTCCACATTTAGTTCTATTTTTCTTCCCTCGGCTCAAGTTGTTATCATGTTGACTTCCAGAATTTATGCCTCAAGTACAACCGCTTCCTTAAAGCCAAATCACGATCAAGTTTCTCATTTGGCCATCATACTACATCTCTTAGTTTTTACTTCTAACGATCTCATGAATATGGTTTCTCTAATTCTCCTTTTATGTTATTTCTTCCCTCATGATTTATTAATTTGGAGACTTTACATAGGATGGATTCGTGGAAGGGACCCTGCACGAGTATTACATTATGAAGGTGGTGGATCTAGAACCCCATCCACTGATATTGTATGCCCAATGTATATGCGCGTTTGGGACATAGTAAAGATTGCAAATGATCCAAATGAAACACGGCCTTTAATTTTATGCGAGTATGTATTTCTTCATATCATTGTAACTCATTTCATTTTCATCTTTATTCTTTTCCTTTTTACAGCTGTAGTTTATTCTTGTAGTCGTTCCATTTGGTTAATCTTAGGTCCTGTGTTGCAATAATGTCAGGTATTCACATGCCATGGGAAACAGCTGTGGAAATCTACATGAATATTGGGAAGCAATTGATAATGTTTTCGGCCTCCAAGGTGGCTTCATATGGGATTGGGTTGACCAGGTTGAGAATCCTTAATTTTTAGGCCCTCTAGGATATCGGGAATTGTTTGTCTTGCCGTGATTAAATTCACTTAATGGTGTCTATTTCATGTCATTATCCTGTAAATTGTAAAAATGCATCAACTTACAATAACATGTGGCCTTATTCGAAGAAGTATTTGCTCTATCCTAATGGCTTGAATTTGACAGCATATTTTGCTCTTTTTACTCCATCTCTTGGGCCATTGTTTTACTGGTAATGTGTGGAAATGACTTAAATATTTTGCATTTCTCTTATAGGCCCTATTGAAGGACAATGGAAAGGGTAGCAAATTCTGGGCATATGGTGGCGACTTTGGGGATTCTCCAAATGATTTAAACTTTTGCTTGAATGGTATTACATGGCCAGACCGAACTCCTCATCCTACCTTACAAGGTACCCTATTTGAATATCATTTTTCTGCACTTTCTCTTTAGGATGATATATGTATTTTAGTTTTCCGATTGCATCAACACTTATAAAGTCGCTTATCTTCTGCAGAAGTTAAGCATGTCTATCAACCGATCAAGGTTTATCTAAGGGAAAGCATGGTTATGGTACTGTCTGGTTTCTTTTTCCCGTTCCAGCATTTTTGTAATGTAGTCTGTTTTCAACATCTAGTTAAAATTTAACTTGGCAGATAAAGAACACTAATTTTTACGATACAACGGAAGGAGTGATGTTTGAATGGGCTGTTCTTGGGGATGGGTGTGAACTTGGGTGTGGAGTTCTATCCGTTCCCGTGATAGAACCTCAGAGCAGTTATGATATCGAATGGAAGTCTGGTCCGTGGTATCCTCTATGGGCTTCCACGGATTCCATAGAAATATTTTTGACAATCACCGCTAAGCTTTTGCACCCCAAACGGTGGGTTGAAGCTGGTCATGTTGTCTCATCGACTCAAGTTCAGTTACCTGCCAGAAGAGATACCATACCTCATGTAAGTTCTATTCCTCTTTTTCTTGTTTTATGGTACTCGGATAGTGGTAAGTGTTGGATACATGTATGTGTCTTGACACTGGTTTTTTTTAATTTTCTTCATGTGTTTGGAAAGTTTTTGCATACGTATATCCGAATCTGTCAGAAACGAGTGCTTCAAGAAAAGTGAACGAGTCGAAGTAACACAAATTTATGGTATTAATATTATTCTGAATTGGCTTAATGTTTTACTTTGAACTCTTCAGATCATCAAAGCGAAAGACGATGTCCTTTCCACCGAACTTCTTGGGGATAATATCAGATTTAGCAACAAGTTATGGGAGATTACATTGAATACGAAAACTGGAAGTCTGGAGAACTGGAAGGTAATATAAGCCTATGACCTTTCTTAAATTTTGCGTTTTCCTCCGGTTTATCTTTTAAACTTTCATTGTGAACTAAAAGCATATGACGACAGATGTTGTAACTTCTAATTTCGGAGCAATTGGGTGGTAAATGGCAGGTTGAAGGCGTCCCTATAATGAAAAATGGCATATTTCCGTGCTTTTGGCGAGCACCGATAGATAATGACAAAGGGGGAGGTCCGAGCAGTTATTACTCTAAGTGGAAAGCTGCCCTTATCGACGATATAGATTTTCTAGCTGAAAGCTGTTCTATACAAAATAAGGCAGACAATCTTGTGAAACTAGCCATTGCCTACGTTGGTCTCATTAAGGGCGAGAATGGTACTTCAAATGAGTCGAAAAAAGTGGCTTTATTTGAAGTCGACATGCTTTACACGATCCATAGTTCCGGTGACATCATTATCGAATCCAATGTAAAACCGAGTTTTAATCTTCCTCCTTTACCACGCGTTGGAGTTGAGTTCCACTTGGAAAAGTCGGTGGACCAAGTGAAATGGTATGGAAGAGGGCCATTTGAGTGTTACCCGGATCGAAAAGCTGCGGCTCATGTTGGGGTTTTTGAGCGGTCGGTGGAAGATATGCATGTTCCTTACATAGTTCCAGGGGAGTCAGGGGGGAGAGCGGATGTCAGATGGGTGACGTTTCAAGACAAGGATGGTGTTGGAATGTATGCTTCAACATTCGGAACATCTCCACCTATGCAACTGAATGCAAGTTATTATAGCACCGCTGAGCTTGATCGGGCAATTCGGAATGAAGAACTTGTCAAAGGGGATAACATCGAGGTAAATTTTCTTCCCGGGATTTCGAGTTAACCGTGTTATGGTTTCCTTGGCTTTGGAACTTTCGTGTGTGAGGGCTCTTGTATGACCTTTATGAATCTGAAGCTAGGTATTTGATTCAAGCCCTTGAATTTTGGGTTTTCTTATACTGAAAATAAAAGGGTATACGAGGCCTGTCTATATCCATGCCGGAGTGTGAGATTATCGAAATCAGATCACTTTTGAGAATCTAAATATGCATGCATGCATGTCTTATGACTCGGGTTTCGAATTTCAGTTTCATCTTCACTTGAATGTTTGTCATGTCATGTTTTTTTGTGTTGTTATTCCTTCACAGGTGCATCTTGACCACAAGCACATGGGCATCGGCGGAGACGATAGCTGGACAGCCTGCGTACACGAGAAGTATCTGGTTCCGGCCGTGCCTTACTCGTTCTCGATCCGGTTATGTCCCATAACTGCAGCTACTTCTGGCCAAGATCTCTTCAAGTCCCAACTTCAAAACTGAGTCCATTTTCATATGTACTATTTGCAAATAACTTTTTGAAGTATGGACATCATGAGGGCCTGGGACGCCCTCAGGACACACTGTAATAAGACGTTTTCATTTAGTTTTCATGTGGATACAAGAGCGACTTATTTTAATAATAAATAAAAGGGTTAATGGCACCAATGTCCCTATACTTTAGCAATATTACCAATGCCGTGCCTCTATTTTTTAAATGTTCAATATGCCCCTGTATTTTACTCTTGTCTTAACATTGAGGAAAAATTGAAAATAATTAGCTTTTGGTGTTTGGATATTGAATTATTCATTATCACTAGAATTTTATTCAAATTATATTTCATTCTACAATTTATGTTCAAAATAAATATTTTAACTTTTTATTTTTTAACATAAATATTAAACACTTTAAATTAGCATATCACTTCTTTTTTCATAATGACTTTTTACAACACTTATTAAAAATATTTTTAAAAAAAAGTATTTTTCATGAACCAATATTAATAGAAAATGCCCTTTAACAAATTAAGCTATCATTGTTTGTAAAATAAATTCAAATTAAGTTCAGAATTTACACACAGTATAATATTAATAGAGGAATTTTATCTTTATTAACTGAAACTTTCATTGTAGTGATTGGAGTATACATATTTTTTGGTATCTAACTTTGATATTTGTTTGCAATGAAGTATCCAATTTTTTTGGTGAAATTATATACTTAACTTTTTATTGTTAGCTAATTATTTTTTCTTTGGTGTAATCAGATACTTAAGCTTTTTTTCTTTGATGCAATTAGGTACTTAACATTTTTAATTACATATATTTAGTTATCATTTATATATACTTTAATTTAAATACGTTTATTTAATGTAATATGCATTATAGATTCAAAAATTAAACGTTGAAATTCAAAGTATGAAAACACATAATTAATTTAGACACCAAACTGCACAAAGCAAAGTTAGATACCTAATTACACCATTAAGAAAAAGTTAGGTATCTAATTACAACAAAAAATTTGGATACCACATTGCACATAAATGTTAAATTTAGGCACCAAAGTAAAATTTCTCCAATTACTAATTATTTTTGTTATATATAATCTAGTTACAAAAAAGCTGTGTTAGATTGCCTATTTCAGTCATATATCTTATCCACAAATTGTTAAAAAGATAAGAAAAAGTTAGGTATCTAATTACAACAAAAAATTTGGATACCACATTGCACATAAATGTTAAATTTAGGCACCAAAGTAAAATTTCTCCAATTACTAATTATTTTGTTATATATAATCTAGTTACAAAAAAGCTGTGTTAGATTGCCTATTTCAGTCATATATCTTATCCACAAATTGTTAAAAAGAAAAAAAGAAGAAAAAAAAACGCCGAAGAAAATCATAAAGCAATATCCTATGTTACATGTCTCTCAATTTTCAGCTAAAGCAGTGAGCTTACGGTAATGGGTATGTTTCATTTTCCTCGTTCTCTTTCGAATTCTGGGTTTTTGAGTGTTCGTTTCTTTTCATGAACGCTGATATTTTATGGTATTCTAGTGTTTTTTTAGTAGTTATTATAATTCTTGTTCGGTATTTTCAGTCATTAATCCGTGGTAAACTGAGAAAAGAAAAGGTTCCATGGAGTTTTTGATGAATCCATTCCCTACCCAAACTTACTTCAAACCCTCAGTTTTCATGCCAAAGCAAGTTATTAATCTTCCATTAGTGAAATTAAGAGGTGGGATTGAGTTTCCAAGAAGAAACTTTGCAAGTTTGGGTAAAAATTCTAGTGTTAGTACTGGGAAAGGTGTTAATGGTGATGGAATGGAAGATTGGGAATGGGAGTTCATAGGGGAGATTGATCCATTTGGTTATCAAGCGCCCAAAAAGACGAAAAAACAGGAGAAATCTAGGGTTCTTGATGATAATGAAGGGATGGATTGGTGTTTGAAGGCTATAAAAATGGCAATCAAATCTATTGAATCTAGGTTATTGACTAATAAAGTTGAGGATTCGATAAAAAAGAAGAAGAAGAGAATCACAAAAAAAGATGTGATTAGTAAAGAAATCAAGGATATCGAAGAGGATTTTGATTTTGGGGAAGACAGTGAAGATGAGGGCTTCGATGATAATGCGAGTCAACTTCGGGAAACGGTTAGTTCAATGGCGGATGGGATGTTTTTAGAGAGGAAGGAGAAGGCGATGGAAGAGTTTGTTCAGAAATTAGCTCAATTTTCAGGGCCATCCGATCATAGAAAAGAAGTCATTTTGGTCAAAGATTTAGTTCAATCCCAAACTGCAGAAGTGTTGGAGATTACATCTGAGATGATAATGGCTGCTGGGAAAGGTTTAAGCCCTTCACCGCTTTCTCCATTGAATATTGCCACTGCAATTAATAGAATTGCTAAGAACATGGAGAAAGTATCGATGCCGAGTACTCGCAGGTTGGCTTTTGCTCGACAAAGAGAAATGTCGATGCTGATTGGTATTGCGATGACATCTCTCCCAGAATGCTCTGCTCAAGGTGTTTCTAACATTTCATGGGCACTGTCGAAAATTGGAGGGGAGTTACTGTTTTTGTCCGAAATGGATCGAGTTGCAGAGGTGACTTTGACCAAAGTTAAGGAGTTCAATTCTCAGAATGTCGCTAATATTGCCGGTGCATCATTTGCTACAATGCGGCATTCTGCGCCAGATTTGTTCAAAGAGTTGGCAAAGAGGGCATTAGCCATAATTCACACTTTTCGTGAACAAGAGCTCGCTCAACTGTTATGGGCAACGAGCCTGCAGATGACTTGCTTCAAGCTATGGATACTGTTTTCAATGATGCCAATCAATTTAAATGCTGCCTAGCCTATGAAACCAATGAAGAAATAGGTGCAGAAAATGGTAGCGATATTGAATTTGGAGGAGTTTCTGATCCTCCTGTGCTTATCTTAAGCAGGTATCAGCTTGGGAACATAGCTTGGTCCTATGCGGTTTTCGGAGAGCTGGATCGAACGTTCTTTTCTCATACATGGAAAACATTGAGCCGTTTCGAGGAGCCACGGGTTTCAGAACAGTATAGAGTAGATGTTATGTTTGCTTCACAGGTTCATCTGGTGAACCAATGTTTAAAGCTCGAGTATCCGCATCTCCAGCTATCGATCGGTGGCGAACTCAAGTCGAGAATCATTCGTTCTGGGAAAACTAAGAAGTTTAATCAAAATACAACTTCATTGTTTCAAAAGGAAGTCGGCCATCTTCTTGTGAGCACTGGCCTTGATTGGGTTAGAGAGTACCCTGTTGACTGCTACACAGTTGATGCTGTTCTTGTTGATCAAAAGGTTGCTTTGGAGATTGATGGACCAACACATTTCTCAAGGAATACTGGTGAGTATTTTCGACAATTCTTGTATTCTTATCGTGTTAGTGTATTCTATCGCCATAATCGCATTTGAGGCGTTTTTGTTATTTATATAAAGTTTGATACTTCAATAATTCGTATCATATAGATTTCTCAGCTTGATTACGCCCTGTCTTAAAACGGCGTCATATTGCATCTTCTGGTTGGAAGTTTGTATCATTGTCTTCCCAAAAGGTAACCTTATATTATTCCGACGCTTCATTTCGCTAAGTGTCTGTATAAATCATCTACTCCCCACATATTCGAAAATGGTTTCGGGGATATGACTTGAATGATGTAGAGAAACTTAGAAAAGAATTCGACATATATCCAAATCCGACATTAACATCTAAGTCTATGTAATGTAGTCTACACTTATCCCGAATTCGGATAACATAGCTTGTAATTTATTAGACAGGGTATTTCTTTGATGCAAAAGAAGGTGATGGAATGGTAAATTTATTTGTTGTCTTTCTGTTTTCAGTGGGAGGAACTTGAAGGGGAAGTGGAGCAGCTTGAGTACCTAAGGAAGATTTTGGAAGATCACCTTGCCTGAATCTATTTGAGGCAACCTCAATTTTATTTTTATTTTTATTTTTTTCAACGAGATTACTCAAAATGTATGTTTAAAGTTCTATTTTTTAAAGAAAAGAAAAACACCCCAAAAAAGATATTTTTCAAATTGGCACTGATTAATTCTTAAAATGATTTTGTTTTATTAACGAATATACGTTAAAATAATGTCTCCACTAATGTGTTAATTTTAAACATTTTTCATTGATTCTTTAAATCAAATAATGTCTCTACTAATTTAACCCTGACAAAAATTCGGTCTCATAATTGTTGAGATTCGTGAAAATCTCTAATATTTTGGCACGGAGGATGAGAAATTTAATAAAAATGCGATCAACGAAACACATTTTATTCATGAATTTATAATTGAGATGATTTATTCGATTGAATTTGATTGGTACTTATATTCTTTAATTTTTGATGCTAGTAAGTAAAATATTGTAAAGCAAAATTTCCATTATAAAAGGGAATTGAATATTGTAAAGCAGTTTTCCTTATCCTTCAATGGATTCACTCTGGCATTCATGGATTCCATTCTATATTTGATTCTATTATGATCCATTTTCTGATTTCCGACTTCTTTTTTCTCACATGCCAAGCATAAATTCAGCTTAAACCGTGACCATTGACATTGACCAACCCCCTCCCATTCAAAAAGAAAGACTTCTTTTTCTCACATGCCAAGCATAAATTCAGCTTAAACCGTGACCATTGACATTGACCAACCCCCTCCAATTCAAAAAGAAAACTTTCGACTCCCGTTTCAGGTACAAGTTTTCAATCAATCTCTCTCTCACCACCGTAAGTTTCTCTCTCTAAAAAAGCATATGGTATGATTGAAAACTTGGGGTTCCCCCCTTATGGTTTATGGTTTATGCCAAGTAAATTTCATTAAGCCATGAACATGGGATTTTCTTATTTAGCCAGTTTGTGTGTTAAAAACCGTTCCTTTTGCTGTCAAAGTTCTGACTTTTTCCTCAAATTTTAATTAATACCCATTTCCACTCATTAATCAGAATTCTTTTTTTTGTTTGACTTGTATTTAGTAAAAGCTTTGATTCTTGTGTAAGTGGGTTGTCTAGTGTCTTTTTTTTTTTATACTTTCGTGTTTGGTTCTTGTGTATGCCTGGAGATTGCTTGACCTCAATTCTGTATGGTATTTTTGAGTTTTTTTTTCTTGCTTGAAACTTTGATCCTTGTGGAAACTCTGTTTAATTTTGGCAACTGCATTGATTTTTTTGACTGATTTTGATGAATTTGAAAGATTTTGGTTGGTTGTATGGGAACATGGATCCCTCTCTGTTCTTCTTTTTGATGTCTTTGATTCTTATATGGAGAAAATATGTTCTACTTTGAAGCTCCCACGCTTTTCTCGAAATACTCATGTTTCGACACGTTTTCATCCGAATTGGATGTATACTTGTTGCATCCGAATCCGAAGAACATAGCTATGAAATGTATCTTGAACTTTGATATGCCAGTGAGCTTTGGTTTTAGTGTTCATCTGAGTAATTGATATCAAAGTAGTACTTGATGTTATGATTAGTGAAAACTTATTGCTTGATTTCGATTTCATGTGGATTGCTCTAGATAGTTAACTTCGTTTGATTCTTCTGAAGCTGCTTTTCGAGCTTTTGCATTCTCCTGTCAGTCAACTGGAACGTAGGAACTCCAATTGTGACCGGTTAGGACTTTTACCGGTATAGAGCTCGTCTTTAAGAAGTTTGGAGGATCGGAAATCAGTGTCCTTGTTTAAGTTTGACTGCAACTGTCAATGATATTGTGAAAGAACATGGGAAGTCCTTCACTGCTCCTTATTACATTAGTTCTCGGGTTCTCCTTTGCCACTTACAATCTGGTAACAATGGTAATGCACAATAGATTGATTTCCAAACTGATGGTAGATGACTCCAATGGTGGAATGTTTTTCGATCCAGTCATTGAGATGCCCGAAAGTGTAAAAAGAACAAAGAATGCCAAACTGCCTTTTCACGTTGCCTTAACAGCTACTGATGCCCCGTACAGCAAATGGCAGTGTCGGATCATGTACTATTGGTATAAGAAGCAGAAGGACATGCCTGGGTCGGAGATGGGAGGGTTCACTCGTATTTTACACTCTGGAAGTCCTGACAACTTGATGGATGAGATTCCGACCGTTGTAGTTGATCCTCTTCCAGCAGGACTCGATCGGGTACGTTTTTGGCATCACTATATTTTTGGTTCCCCTAGTCGTTCTTTTATGTGTGTTTAAAGGCTTAGAATAGTCTTAGACTTCCATTTTATTAGTTTGAGTCATCAATCTCGACAAAGTGAACTATTTTGTTGATAGCATAGTCGATTGACAGCTACATTAGGGCGTAATTTTTTTGAAGACGAAGAGTATCGCCTCCTTGAAAGGAGGTATTTCTTGGACATGTTTGTATTTTCGATTCGGTTGAGGCCGGCTAGATAGTTGGCTTTCTTAAGTGAGCCATTAACTATTGATACAAGCAAACAGAAAATCTTTATATTGTATTCTTAAGTTTCAGATTCATATTTGTAGGAACTGTGTGCTTAAATGGTTGCTCGAATTTAGAATTATTTCGGATCATTGGCACTATGTTCGAATGGATAACCTTCGAATCAGCTAGACAATAAAATAAAATAGAATAAAGGGTCGGAGTAACATTGTTCAAAAGAAGCTGCAGTCTAATAATCCCTCACAATATCGGCACCCAAGGACTATTGGCATTTATCCTATAGGTGGTACCAAAACATATTCTTGGATCATCCGAAGAAATTTTAATCGTCCGATCTTCAGCATTGTTTTTATGTATAGAAAAATGAAGAGTTTTCTAACTCTATGTTATGAGTGGGATTAGATTCCCCTTAGGCTGACATGAACTGTGATTATGTTGAAACAATTATAGATTGATATAACTTGGAAGAATGCATTTGCTGTATGCATGAAAGTTTTCATCTGCTGTATAAATGAATGCAGTACGTTCGTGGCGGGATTACTTGTTTGTTTCTGGAAAAATTTATTGTTTAGTAATTTCAGAAATTCCCTTGATTGTCTTTATTTCTATAATCTGCATCGTGTTTACCTTTTCTGAAGAGATTCCTCTCACTTCTCAGGGATATATCGTCTTAAATCGACCATGGGCTTTTGTGCAGTGGCTTGAAAAGGCTACAATTGAAGAAGAGTGAGTGCTTTCACATATCATCATTCTGTTATCAGTTTCATAGTACCTTCATCCATTTGTAGTTACGTTACTGGGATTCGGGTGTGAGTGCATTTTTTTTAAGTTTCTCCATGTATTTGGTGTTCCTTAGAAGGTAGTATCTACATATCCGAATTTGTGTCTGACATAGGTACTTTGAGAAAAATGAAAGTTTGGAGCAATATAGGTAGTATCTCCGAGCATGCTAACCGTTTTTCTTGATGCAGCTATATATTGATGGCGGAGCCTGACCATATTTTTGTCACTCCCCTACCTAATCTGGCGCACGGAGGATACCCGGCTGCATTCCCCTTTTTCTACATAAAACCGGACGAAAATGAAAAGCTGTTAAGGAAGTTTTTCCCGGAGGAGATGGGACCAGTGACCAATATAGATCCGATTGGCAATTCACCTGTCATTATCAAGAAGGTACAGATTTCCTATTAACCGATTTATAGATTAGGCTTGTTGCGAGTTTTGTCGACAAGCAGTTGTTGATTTTCACTGTTGAATACTTTATTATCTGTCTCTCTGTTGTAACCCTCGGCATTCCCTCTACATTTTCGTTGTTGTTGTTTGTCATAGATTTTGATTCTAGACAATTATAAGGTTTTTTACTTCGTACTTCCCGTTCTATTAAAACTAGATGATTCTATATACTGAATGGATTTTCTTATACAGGACTTGTTGGAAAAGATTGCTCCTACTTGGATGAATGTTTCTTTAAAAATGAAGGATGATCCGGAGACCGATAAAGCTTTTGGATGGGTGCTAGAAATGTAAGTATTGGCTATCTTTCTCAGACTCGCACTAGAGCTAGAGTGTCGAATATGGGGTTGTGTCTAACACTGGTATCCTCAGTTTTTTTCCAAGTTTTTTGCATATATATCTCCATACCATTGCCTGAATGCATGTTGGACACACATTTTCAGTACTGACATGTATTACAAACCGAAGGTATGCGTATGCTGTGGCGTCGGCATTGCATGGCGTGCAACACATTCTCCGGAAAGACTTCATGCTTCAGGTATGTCACCTTATTTTCTAAACGTTTTCTCTTTTCATGAAGCTTTCAGTTTCGGTTTAGTTTTCATCGATGCACCTCGTAGTGTTTTATTATTTGTTCGTAATTCAGCCACCATGGGATCTCGAAATAGGGAAAGGTTCATAATTCATTACACCTATGGATGTGACTACAACATGAAGGTAAACCATTCCAAGAATGACTTCAGACCGGATTTAGTTTAAATTAACTTGTTTCCACATAGCCTAAACTTTATTTATTTGTCGTTTAACTTTCAGGGAGAGTTAACATATGGTAAAATCGGCGAGTGGCGGTTCGACAAGAGATCATATCTACGAGGACCACCACCACGAAATCTCCCCTTGCCTCCTCCGGGTGTCCCTGAAAGTGTGGTATGTATTTATAAGTATCAGAGCTAAGAAATGCTATGGGCCATAGGGACCGACATAGTGTTTCCCCGTAAACTAGGGTCCGATTCTCTCTGTACCAGCATGTATTGTGGTTTATGTTCGCTTTGAGTTCTTTGTTTTCTCGGTGATTGGTTTGTAAAGCCGAGGCAAGTCATACCGCATTCTTTTTGAGCTTGAATTGGCCAACCTAAGTTGAGGACCAGTCTGCTCAAAATGTAGTAAATTTGACCGGGATAGTGTATGGCTCGAATGTATTCGAGGGAATTCTTCTTGTCGAATACGTTCATTTTGCACGTAACTGATACAAACTTGTTTATGATTCGAGGGGATTTCCCTTTCTTTTGCATGTATTTATGCATTTGTAGTTTGATTGTGATCCAGTTTCATGTATTCTACTTGCTGTCTGTAGGTGACCCTTGTGAAGATGGTAAATGAGGCAACGGCTAACATTCTGAACTGGGACGGAGAATAAACGCCGACGATCACAGGTTGCGAAAAGTTTATTTACGGTAAAGGACATTTTCTTTTATCGAACCGACATCTAGACTCTAGAAAATCGATGTTCGAATACCTTAGCTCGATTGAAACTTGAGATTTCAGGATGAAATCTTACAATCTAATAGTTGAATGTCTCCAAAATAGTCATAAATTTGTTAAGAACTAACTACCCCATTTAGCATCAACGTTGATTTTGTTTAGTCAACAATTTTTAATGAATGATTAGTTTGATATCAAAATAATAGTTCTTGAATCGAGCTCGAATTTAAAAAACAAATCGAGTTTGAGCTATTTAGAACAAATTTATCTAGTTATTTTGTAACATTTGTTTTTGGACTATCCAGCTCAGTTGGTAGAGCACAAATAATTCGGAGGTCTTCTACGGAAGCTGCTCTCAACCTGGTGTTGGGGGCAGCCTACTATCTTACCTCCCCCTTACCCCATTATATATGGGAACAAGGGACAACCATTTTCTCTCTGCTTATTTTAGATATTTAGTCCCTCTTGTTTGATTTAAAAATTAAATTATAATTGATATTGTTAAATAGTTTCTGTTAAATTTGAATGTATTTTAAGTTGGCTTTAAAATTTGAAAGTACACCCAGGATCACTTACTTTGAGATGTTTCTAACTTGACCATCATTTTTCAATTTTATTAATATGACTACTTAATTGTTTTAAATGATATCAATCGTTATTATTTAATGGAGAAGGTGATGATTGAGTGTTTTTTTAATGATTAGTGACTAAAATAAAATTAAAACTAAACATTAAGAATGATTTTTGAAAATAAATAGCTGAGTAGCCAAAATAGAATAAAGGTGATAGTTGGGTACTAAATGTGTAGTTTACCCTTAATATTTTTATATTATTAATGGAATTATTTTTCTTTGTCGATAAATATTAAATTATTAATTGCCTTGAAAACATAAAGTTCAAACTCCAAAGCTGGAATTAAATTTTTCCCGCGAACCACGGCGGGCCTCAGCCCACCTGCCCCATCAACCACCACCATTTTAGCTCACACTTCAAAATCCACAATCTCCAGATCTCACCCTTTCTTTATCCATCTCTTTATCCTCCCTTTCTTCACACAGTTTATTTGTCGGAAGCCAGTAACACCTACTCATGTCCACAGCGAATCCGCCGGTTTCGTCAACCGGCGTCGGCGTCGGCCTCGGTTACGGCATAGCCATTGCCGTTAGCATCCTAGTACTGATCTCCACAATCATGCTCGCTTCCTACGCTTGCGTGAGAGTTAAAGCCAGTGGAAACAACAACAATCGAAGTAGCCGGGGTAGCAACAGCGACGACACGAATGGTGGCATTGCCGACGAGGAATCTATGGAAATTGCTACGGTGGTGTTAGGACTCGACGGTCCGATCATCGAGTCATATCAGAAGATCATATTAGGCGAGAGCCGGCGGCTGCCGGGGCCGAACGACGGGCCATGTTGCATTTGCTTGACGGAGTATGAAGCTAAGGATCAGATACGGTGCATACCAGATTGCAATCATTGTTTCCACGTTGTCTGTATTGATGGCTGGCTGCGGATGAACGCAACTTGTCCTTTATGTCGGAATTCGCCGGCTCCTTCTCGGGGTCCCACACCTTCGGCTACCCCTTTGTCAGCATTGGTACCTTTAGCCGTTCATGGTAGATGATTGATTTTGTAATAATTAAGATAATTAATTAAGGTCTAATGATAATTTTTTTATCCTTGAATTTATTCTTTTAAATTTATTTGTCTTTTTTAAATTATAAAAAAGTAACATAACAAATATTTAAATATAATTTATGAATTATCAAAAACATATGTTTTCCATATATTTAAGGATAAATATGATATAATAATGCCACACAAGAAAATAATTTACTTTACAATTATATAAAATATCAAACTTCAATATAACATCCATACAGAAATATTTTTTTAATTAATGAGAATAATTTTAATGAATAAATAAAGAGAAAATCAAGTAAAATCTATAATTTTGAAAAGAATTATAAAAATTAAAATAGATTAATTACATTAATAATTCTTCTTAGAATCATCAAGAATCGCGAACTAATCCTTAAATATTTAGACTAATATCATACATAAAAAGAGTTAAAAAATTTCAATTAAACAACTCATAAAAATAGTAGATGCAAACAAATATTAATATGCGACGATAAATGATAAACACCCTCAAAACTAACATAAAAATAAATATAATGATAACAACATGTTGACAATCGAGTGTCTGTTGAGAATCGATTTATGAGAGAATTACGAACACTTATCAATATGAGAGAATTGAAATCGAGTGTATGTTGTGAATCGATTTTTATTCGTTCGTTTTGAATAAGAAATTTTGATTAAAGAATCAACTATAAAATTTAAATCGAATCCAAATCAAACTCAAATTTTATTTTAGAAAAAAAAACTAATAAATTGAAGTGGAGGGAGTAGGTATCAAACTGGGGATAAGAAGGTTAGAAATTCTCCTAAATTTCAAATTTGTGGGTCCAAATTCAATTCAATTTCACTTGCACTTGTTTTCATGAGGAGCAATGTTACGTAAAACACCGCTCGTAATTTTATAACTATGTGCATTAATTTGTAAGAAATTGAAAAGTGGTCCATGTTTGTCAGCACCAATAATGCTGAATTTAGGTATTCATTATGCATTTGTTGCTACCAAAGTCTTTAATTACATTAAATGCTGGTTTTAGGCATTCATTATCCACTAATTTGTTCTTTTGGGGATTTACAATTAGATCCAATTCTTTTATGTATTTTTTCTATATTTTTATATATAAAAAAAATAAAACTTGTTCATGGGCTCAAAAAATGGCCTAAAAGTTGTTGATTAAGTTTTTTTTTTATAGAAGTCGTTATTTTTATTACAAACAATATCATTTTTTTTAAATTATTAACACAAGAAATTAGTCACTTAAGAGCACACGAGAATCATACAAGAAAAAAGTTTTAAAAAATCTAATAAAAAGAAACCCTAACAAAAGATAAATACAAACACTTTATCTTAGGTAATCAACCATAACGAGTTAACTTTTGACCAAATAAATAGTTTATCCTATATATTTTTAGGTAAATTGCACCCATAACCAGTTAACTATTGATAAATTTTATTTTGACCACTGATAATTCAATTTTGTCAATCAAATTACTTAATTATTTAAGTGTTGTCAATCAAGTCACCAACCATTAACATTTAACGAAAAAAATATAATTACACATTTGATTATTGTCACTTACATATTCTATCAATTGAATCATAATTTTAATTTAATAAATTTAATATTTAATTAGATTACGATTCACCACTTAAATTAGGAAGATAAATGGATGAAACCTAGGTCTAGGGATAGGCTTGCACGCACATCAACCATTGGGCTAAACTCCTTATTTGGTAATGAATTACAAACTTTACAAGTAATAAGGATTAAATGTATAATTATATTATCTTTTTAATAGGCACGTCAACTTCTCTTGTAAATGTTAATGGTTGGTACTTTTGACCAGGCTTAAATAATTAAATTGTTTGATTAATAAAATTCAAGGATCGTGGTCAAAATAAAACTCATTTATAATTAAGCGTCATGGGTGTAATTTACCCTATATTTTAAAGCAAAGTCGAAATTTTAGTATTTAAACTATCAATTTTAATTTTAGGGTATATTAAACTTTTATTATATAAACTATCAATTTTATTTTGTTTTAGTAATTAACTAGTTTCTCACTCCTATTTTGGTCACTAAAGTTTAAAAAATTTCAATTTAACTACCCAACTTTTAAATTGCTCATGTTTTAATCACTCTAGTTTATTTTATTAATAATTTTTTTGACATAACATTTTTTTTTAATTTATAATAGATAATTAAAAAAATAAATTTAAAAGTTAGAGTGATTAAATTAGGTAATTTGAAAATTAAGTAATTAAATTTTAAAAAAAGTAAACTTCAGTGATCAAAATAGGAGTGAAAAGATAGTTTAGTGATGAATGATGTAATTTACCCATAAAAAGTGTCATAATGTAACAATTCCATTAAGCTTTTAACGACGATCTGTCAAAACAAAATAAAAGTAAATGTTAAGTATGATTTTGAAACAAAAAAAAGCTTATGTAACTAAAACGAAGCAAATTGATTGTTTAGATATTAAATTGTAGTTTACCCTAATTTTATAGTTAAGTTATGCAATCAATTGTTTAATAACTTATTCAATTTATAGTTATTGGTGTTTGTGGACTTCCTGTGCAAGTTTATTTCTTGATTTTTTTTCTTGGTTTGTATTTCAACATGCTTCCACGGATGAGATTGCCTTTAAGGGGAGATCGCCTTCTCCGTTTGTCGTTTTGAATCTTCTTCAAATTTTCTCCTCCATGATTGGTGATCAGAACAGTTGGTGCAATCAGTTTATATATGTCGTTGCTTCATTTATTCATACTTTTGCTTATCAAACTATCACTAGACGATCATTGTAAGATTTTATGATAGTCATGACTGTGTTTTTCGGTATGTTATTGGCAAGACGTTGTTACGGTTTATGATAAATAAATATTTAATTGTATTACTTTAAAAAAAAAAATTAGTTTAGATTTTCAGAACCGAATTAGCTATTGAAATTGAATAAACCAAAAAAATTGGACTATATGATTTGGTTTAATCAACTATCCACTATATTTATCAAACAATTTGTTTTAGAGAATTCGGAATTTGAGTTATTGATATTTAATTTTTAAGAATTTTCATTGTGAGTTTTTCCTTTTTTTCTTAGTTTATAAGCCTTGAATTGCTTACATATTAAGTAAAAGTATTTGATTCTTTGCGTAGCTCAAGCTAAAATGTCAAATTCAATTTCAGAATAAAAAGATTTCTTCAAATTCATTCGAAAATTTTTCTATATAAATCCGAATGCGAAAACCCAATTCCATAAATCACCATTTTATTCTCCATAGCAATCTCGATTCTCTGCAACAACAATCTCTCTGTGCCATCAACCCTCAGCTTTGAACCCATGGCCACCATCCCCGGCGGAGTTCGTCCTTCCGGCGGTTCTCAAAACAGCGCGGAGGTCGAAAACCTCGGTCGCTTCGCCGTCGACGAGCACAACAAGAAAGAGAACGGTGTGGTTGAGTTTGTGAGGGTGGTGAAAGCAGCCGAGCAAGTGGTGGCCGGGACGCTTCACCATTTGACTGTGGAAGCCATTGATGCCGGCAAAAAGAAGCTTTATGAGGCCAAAGTGTGGGTTAAACCATGGATGAACTTCAAGGAATTGCAGGAGTTTAAACATGCCGGTGATGCCGATGATAATTCGCCTTCTTTTACCGCTTCGGATCTTGGGGTCAAGCAAGGTTTGTTCATAACTCAATTTTCCTTCGATTTTAATTAGTTCTTGTGGGAAATTCTTGACATTTCTGGGAGAGAAAAAAAAATGAAGACGGATGGATGTAGAGAGTAGGTTATTCACAATAGATTGAATTTGAAAATACAAATTAGATTATATACTTGTATTTGACTCGCACTGAAATTAAAATAATATATTTATCATTTGACAATGAATTATCAAACGCTTGTATAAACATTTCAAACTCAAAATCTGTAATTATCTCTTGAATCACTAAGGTTACTTGTCGCTTAGTTCATACCAGACATATTTTTAATATTTCAATAGAAAGGAATGCATTTTTTTCTTTTGTTCTCGAAATTTTATATATTTTTAAAAGATCATTGGAGGGTGTTATCTTTACACATAAATCTAAATATGCATTTGAAAAAAGACATACATACTTTCTATATAAGTTGTTTCATATGAGACTCACATCAATTATTTGCTGTAAAATAGATGGCCATGGCCCTGGATTGCAATCTGTGCCAACACATGATCCTGTTGTTCAAGATGCTGCAAATCATGCTCTCAAGACCATTCAGCAGAGGTCAAATTCACTTATGCCCTATGAACTCAAAGAAATTGTCCATGCCAATGCTGAGGTATTTAAGTTTCGAGTATTTAATGGATTCAGATACGCGACAAAAAATAGTATTTAAATTCGATGCGGATTCAGATAGTAATATTGAAATCGCTTTCGTTGAACGTCCTATACAGGTGGCGGAAGATTTCGCAAAACTCGAGATGCTTCTCAAGGTGAAGAGAGGAGACAAGGAAGAGAAGTTCAAGGTGGGGGTGCACCATCAGAGCGAAGGAACTTTCCATCTGAACAGCATGGAACCAGATCACTCTTGAAGATAATGTTATTGCATAGTTTATGTTACTCGGACTCGAATATGAGAGCTAGACGTGTATGTGTGTCCGATCTTTTTTGATCATGTACCTATATCCTTATGCGGATATACACCGAATCCGAATATTATATTAACGAATGCAACAATGTGATATTAAGTTTGTGCCAACAAAGCCTCTTACAGTTGCAAGAATAATGTTAACCTGTGGTTGTCGTTAATTCACATGCATGAGAAGAAAGCCTGCAATGCATCCATCACAAATTTGAAGGCTGCCCGGGTTTTAGTTCCAACAACGAGGGATAGGAATCACTCCTTTCTGCAACTCAGGCAGGCAAACGAGTTCTTACCATTGCTCTTCTTGGTAAATCCAATTGAAGAAATGGGCAAGACCAAGTAATTTGACAATCACAAAACTAAAGTTAACGAGCTATGTCGAAACTAAACATGCAATAAGATAATAGTTACACTGAGGAGCCACAAATTTCTCGTTGCAGAACGAGCAGGTTCCCGGACTAGTGTCTTTCGGTTGTGAGAATCTACCATTTAAAGTTATGTTAGCGAAAGCTATAACAGAAACTCAACGATGATGGATAAACAAATAGAGAGAAGAGAAATGCATTTGAGCCCTTGTGACCTACTTAGAATATATTTGCATATTCCAATAAGATCATATAGACTATTTTCGCATTTTTTTTCTATCTACTCAAGGTACTAAACTGATCTTGACCGCTAATTTTTTCTAGAGTCCAGCTTTGGAGCTACTCACCCTTCCTCGTCATAATCTTCTTCATCCTCGTCTAAACTTCCACCAAGCCGAGCAAGTTGAAGAGGATCGATAGCCATCTTATCCATATCTGAAAGAGACCAACCTGGGTATTCTTCGTGTTTAGCCTCTGTTCTAGGCTCTGCCGAAGAAGACTGAGCAGCTGCCGCTGCTGCTGTGACCGCTGGTGCAGCAACACCTGCTGATGCTGCAGGTGCAGTGACTTTAGCAGCAGCAGCCGTGGCTGGAGGTGCATCAACTCTAGCAGCAGTTACTGAGGCCTTTGTATCCACTTTCTCATCTACCTCAGCATTCAGATCAATATTTCTAATAGGCTGATTGGCATCTTCACCAATTGCTTTCTCTTTAACTGGTTCCTTCAACTCAGAACCATCATCTATAGCCATTCCCGAGGTTGATTGACTTTTGTTGTTTTGCTGAAGTGTTGAGCATGGTTCTGGTTCTATTTCACGATGAGCATCTCTTTCCACATGTCGAGCTCCTCTTCCACGACCCCTGCCTCGTCCACGGCCTCTCCCGCGGCCACTGGTGCCAGAATGACCCACATCATGCTGCTGAATACATGAAGGAAGGAAGGATGTCAGCGGAAGTACTTCAATTCACTTACACACACATAAAAAATGGCATGCTCCGGATAATGACACTTGTTTAGCATAATTCATTCTATAGAGTTTCACACAAGTTCATCCTATGTTCTATACACTTATAGCATGTATGGCCATACATATATACACACACAAATACTTGAATCGAAGCCATCTTACCATTCTGCTTCTCTTTGATTCTTCGTCACTGTCATTCACCTCATCTCCAGTAGCTTTTCTGGCAGAATGATACAGAAAAATATCACCAACTAAATAAACTCTACAAATTGAAAAGTAAGAAACAAGTATGATCAATGGTTTCTCTAACCTTCTACGGGAAATGGTTCGATCATCAGTAGCAGTGGCCTCAGAATGGCCATGACCATAATCAGGAACCCGGCTAACAATGTCCCTCAGAAAGTCAAAAACGTTGTAGCTCTGTACACAATGCTTACTGCAATTTAGATTAGATGCTTTTGTTGGTACAATGCATAATACATAGAAAATACACAACACTAAGGGTAACAAAGAACGAGATCCGAAGACACGTAATATGATACAATGCTGATCACAAGGCTTGTTAGTCTAAAACTGTAGCATGATCGAGAAAGGATGAAAAAATAGACCCCTTTCTCCCAAAATTGTGATTCACCATTTATAGTAATCTTCATAGAGGATCTATAATACTTTTGGACCCAAAAGGAGAAAATCCGGACCAAGTCCAACATAAAATTAAAATCTTTGCTGTCCTTACAGACCAACAGAGGGTTCGCTTACTTAGGATTACGAAAAATGTTTGGAAGCTAATGATTTAATGCAAGTAAATACTTAAGTTTGATACTTCTGTACATTCTTTGGATCTTTTGCAGTATTGGATCCATTTCCTGTCCTCAGTCCTATGTCGCTCTGACCCTTTATTTCTCCTGAAATACAATAACCCTCCAACTACATAGAAAAAACTTTAAAAAACTGAACATATCCGTGTAGGACACATACCCACACCCAAAATTCCCAAGTCCAACTAACATAGCCTCAGGCTTCTCTCTGTCTCTCTCTACACTCTTTTCCCCTCCTCACCTTTTCTTCTTTAAATCCTAAAGTGGATGACAAATAATGCTCACTACAAAAAGAATAATGTTAATTATTCACTTACAGATGCAATGAATTCATGGTTTTTGCTCCTCTCTGAAGAGTAATCTCATACGTACGATCACAGAGGTCTTGTAGAAACAATTCCAATGCTTTAGCTGAAAAGTAATAGAAAGAAGCATGAGCAAGTAATATATATGCATGGATGATTTATTTCGGTAAACCATGAAAGTTATAGCCACTCACAAACTAAAACAGGCACTGCTAATGCAATCTTCCCTACATCTTCATCTGCTTGCATAATCTTCTTAATGCGAGCCTGAAAAACAAATATCAATTAAAGTTTAGTTTCAGCTTTAATCATGGCTGACATCGGTAAATCTGTAAATGTTACTATAATTCCAAGAAGATGGCTCATAGCCAAGGATGACAACACAACCCGTGGTCCTAAAGCATATAGGAAACATCGGGAAAACATTTTCTTTGGACTAACCAACTTTTTAATCATTATGTCACATACATATTCACCAGGCAAAAACAGCTCAAAAGATGCAACATTAAACGGAGTTGTGGGACCATAAACTTGTATATCTTAATTATAAGCGAATAACATTACCAACGAATATCGAGATATCCTAATATAAAACAGCAACCCCAAAAATGGGTAAGAAATCTGACAAGGACTATTACATACTGACAGAGACTACCATGAGAAGAAGATAGGATCTTTGACGCATCAATGTCCTTATCGCTCCATTAAGTGAGAGCATCACCTGACACGCATCCTTGTAAGTTGCTGGTTTAATACCATCAACTGATCAACATAACACAAGTTCCAAGTGCCAAGTGCAGTGGGAGAAGATAGGACACGGCTAAGCTACGTTACTCTAAACTTAGACATGAGTGTGGGATGGGGGTAGTGTTTGAAATAGGTATGTTCAATTTTTTCCATGTCTAAGGTCGTTGGAAGGTCAAAGTATGGGTACTTTCAACAACAAAAAATGAAGAGTCAAAGTAACACAGACGACGCCAATGATGTCAAGCAAGACCAAATTAGGACATGATGATTAACAAGAAACTAAAGTTCCAGAAGTCAATACTCAATAAGCTAAACATTCTGCAGACTAAGAACTACCAAATAATATTTGGGAAATTTAATTTCCATATCCCCATAAAACCGACCGATTTCGAAGAATCATAAAAGAACATTGTTAAAACAACATGAGGTTTTCATAGAACATCCAAAAACAAAGAATCCTCCCTAGAAGTGCTCTGAAAAACAAAAATCCAACAACACAGTCCATGAAATTCCATATAATCAAAACAATTATAAACTAAATATCCAAAAACCCTAAATATTGAACACATAATCAACTAATATATGGAAAATTAATGACGACCCAGATCACAAAAACTATAGTATAAATCGGAATCGCAGCAACAAAATCAACCACAGAATCGAAAAATAAAGCGAAACCAGATTTCATTATCCATCGAATCAATAAAAAATTAAATACCCAAATCAAATTAACAACTGATTAGAAAATGAAATTAAACAAATTCAATGAAAAGCAAAAGGATAATAAGAAAAGATAGAAGCTTACAGCTGGGAAACGGGTATCGAGCTTCTTTCTCATGATTTGGGTGTCAGATTTGGATAATAAAAATATAAAAAAAAAACCTAAACGAAATCGATATATATATATATATATATATATATACTAAATAAAAAACTACTTCAGGAGAAAAACGATGTTGTTCTAATAATTTAAAACACGAACAATTCAATAAAATATAAACTCAAAACAAAAAATAACAATTCAGATCCCAAGACTGCCCTTTTCCCCCCTTCTTTTAGTTCTAAAAAAACCAAACGTAAACAAGAACTCTTTGTTTCAAGAGCAAATTATAGATTAGATCACTTGTTTTGGTATTCTTCTGATTTGGACCACCTAACTTTCACTTTTACGTTTGGGTCACTTACATTACAATGTGGCATATTAAAAAAGTTTAACTTCTTATTTGATCCTGAAATTTAGAAAAAATATTAATTTAGACATAAATTTTTGTTTCATTTATTTTTTACCTTCCCATAAAACTTAAAACTTTTTCAATCTCTCTTTTAACTCGTACAACTGCGTTCACTATCGATGTTGTTCCAGCTATCTTGTTCTACCAATGATGAAACTAAATCAACTCTCATTCTTTTTCTTTTCTTTACAATTTTCTTAAATTATTTTTTTCATTGTTAAAATTAATTTCCAAATAACATCAAAACATTACACTAAAAACCAACAAAACAACTCTCAAAGTGAATGAAAATAAAAAGCGATTTACATCAAAGAAGAATAACATCCAATAATGGGGGAGTAATAACAAAATACAAACCCAAACAGTTAATTATAATTTAATCTTTTTTTTTTTTTTGAATATCATGTAGACGACGACACACAAATTTTGTTTGATCTCTCATATCAAGATATTCAAACAAAGTTTACCATAAATGTAATCTAATTTCTTAGTATTATAACATAATTTAAATGATATAATGAGATGGAACAAACTGAAGGAAATTTATTTGGACAACTTGGATCTATGAACACCTCTAATTACCATATATTTATCTGAGGTAAATGGTTACATGAACTCCAAATTCATAGAGTTGCCAAATTTAAAGTGATGCATAGGTGTCCAAATTTGTATTTTTACCATAAAATATAAATATAATGGATTTGTTTATAGTAAGTGAATATGTATGTATATCTATGTGAACATTGATGCATGAATAATTGAAGTATTATGATGAAATGATTCAAATTGACAACTTGAAAATAGATATCTTGCCATAATTGAAGCAATGTCACAACTCAAACCCCAATATATATCAAACAACATCCCTCATGATTTCCCCCCACACCAAAAATTCATATAGTTTTAGTCAAGCTGCCAAAGCATCTGAAAATGGTACCCAGCACCGGTGCTTCTCCATGCGAATCGAGGGTCATGCTGAGTCTTGTCACTCCTACCAACCTTATACCTTCTCGGTCTGAAGGACTACCTGAAACGAGTGTGGTTTACAATTGCAGCTACTGCAAGAGAGCCTTCTCTAGCTCTCAAGCCTTGGGGGGACACCAAAATGCACACAAACAAGAACGTGCATTAGCCAAAAGGGCGCAACGGATTGGACCGAGTGATTTTCTCCGTCCGATCTTTCCCTATTACCCTTATTCGTCCTTCTCTTCGAACCCTTTTCTTGGATCTTTGAATAGATCATCTTTTGGAGTTAGACATGAATCCATGATCCATAAACCATTTTATCCATGGATGCCATACAGATCGGGCGGATATCATTTCGGTCAAGGTTACCCTAGGCCAGCCATGATGAACCATCCTCAGCTGACCTCCAACGGAAGATTTGGCATCAACAATGGCGGATTTGCAGTTCCGGTGCCTTCGAGCTCTTCGAGAATCAACGGAATCAATTCTGTTGCAAGCTTTGGTAACAATTCTCAAGTAAATGTTGCAGTGAATAAGCCGGTAGCAGGAAGTGATGAGAACAAAGATAGTTCAGGAATCGATTTGAACCTTAAGCTTTAATTTATCTTTAGTATTCTTGTGCTCTAATAAGTTTCTAGTGAAGTTCATTTCATGCTTATTATGATTAAGTGTTCAAGTTCATTTTTTTTTGACTTTATGTTCAAGTTCATATTTGAACTTATATGTTTATTTAATTTTTATTCAACTACATTAATGAAATTAAAATTTATGTTGGAACTCGAATGAGATATTTTTATTTGAACGCACGTAAATAAATAATAATTTATTATTATATATGTATATTTACACGTGTAAAATAAACTCCTTATTACATTTTATTATTGTAGAAACCATTTTTTTCATACAAAGCAAACACATATATTCAGATTCGAATGATCAAAATCATAAAATAACGATCTTAACATCATGTTACAATCGATGTTTAAATTTCCGATACCGAGGGCTTGTTGTTGGGGTAGGACAAGAAAGTAACATCGGCGTTCCGATCGCTGCAATAAAGGCAAGGGTGTTGATCAAATCCTTGAGCCTCTAAAACCTTCCTAGCCATCATCACGACCTGTTTATTGCTTAATCCACCGGGGTTCTCTTTGAGTACCATCTGGATGGCATTGCTAAACGCCCCGTAAGCCTTTCCACCGCTCTCCGTCATCATAGGGTTCATGTCGGCCGACGTCTCGTCTGCTTGGCACCCACTTAAGAGAATCCCCTCGTCGGGCTTCAAGAACTCGAATAGATCGAACTTGAGTTGTGGTACGAGGAATTTAAGGCTGGCATTGGAACCAAAGGATTCTAACAAATGGGTACCGATGTCGGATGAGTTGATCCCTGTTAGTGATGATAAGTGCTCAAGTATGGATTCGAAAGGGATGCTCTTGGGCTTGTAAGAAAGTGATGAAGTTGTCTTGTACGTAGATGGTCCGATTTGTTCTTTTTCTTTGTCGATGAGACCGCCACTGTGACATGAATCCGCCAGGATCGTGAAACTTGCTCCTTCGGGCACTTGGTTAACTAATTGTCTGAAGTCCATGTCTGTAATAATCATGCATCATCTAAATATTAGGGTCAAATCGGATATGTAATTTGTTTATATATATATAAGTAAGGAATTTTAGCGACAAGCATTGAATATTAATCGATTAATAGTTTTTATTCGATTAGGAGGTATTTTACTCCAAATAAAATGTTAAAGATCAAAATACTAAAACAAAATAAGAGTTAAAATATATGGGAAAAAATACCCGTTACGAGATTGAAATCAGAGGCCACAATTGCTTCATCTTGTCTCAAAACATGGGCAGGTTTCAAGCTATGAACCTTGTTCCACGTCCACTATAATGAAAAAACAACACATCACCGGCTTCGGCCTGGCTCACCATCTTACTCAATGCTGCCTTTATGTTGGCTCCGGTAGGCAAAACTGTGGTTGACGACGACCCATCTCCATCTGCTGCTGGTGCATCCGTAAGGAGCTTTATATTCGTCTGTTCGAACCCGAATCGGTTAATCAACACGTCTCTCGTGGCTACCAGAACAGCCATGATCTTGTTAACTTTCGCCATTGGTGCTTAGATTTCGAGCACGAACTAAAAGTGCAGAAGAGTACCGACGTAACGGATGTTATCGAATATCGACAGAAGCAAGAATCGAAACAGCAAAATAAGGAGATTGTGCTTGGGATTATAAAGTACATGAAGTTCCATAGGTGACTTGGGAAATCGTTCAAGCAACCTTTCTGCCTTGTTGGATGCCTTTTAAGCGTCGGAAGAATGCTTCAACAACTCAATCTTTGCTGAACATTGAAATAATTTCTACAAAAGAAAACGTCTATTTTAGGAATAACGAAACATGTAATCCTAAACTTCTACATACAATAACAATTTGATCCTCAACCTTAAAAAAATATTATTTTTAATGAAAATGCTTACTAAAGTAATATATTGATATCGATTATTCATGTATATTTTATGTTGACATGATATTATTTGTTTTATATATTATTTTTAACAAAAAATTATAAAATAATAAAAATAGTTATTCTACATTTTTGAAAGATGGATGGTTAAATTATACATAATAAATAAGGAGTAAATTGATAAAATTATAAAGTTGAAGATTAACTTTATCATTATACTTAAATTTTAAATCTCACGTTGATAGGTTTATGGTGTACCAACAAAAGATTGAGTTTATTTCTGGTTAATATTAGGTCTTAAGTTCATACTAAACGATTTTTTTTTCATGAAAATTTTAAATCTCATAAATATTTAAAATATAAAATCAAAAATTAAGATAATATTAACTTTGTTAGATTACGAGTCTACATATATCTCAATTAAGAAGAGAAACTATACTCATAATCCAACAAAGTCAAAATTATATGACTCTTTAACTAATTAAATTAAATCTCACAACTATATGGAATATAAGGTCGAAAGTTAAAATAATATCGATTATGTTAGACTATAAGTTTATATCTCAATCAAGGAGAGAAACTAGACTCATCCAGCAAAATCGAAATTATATGGCTCTTTAATTGACTAAATTAAATCTCGTAAATTTTTAGAACAAAATATCGAAAGTCAAGATAATATCGACTTAGTCTATATATCAATTAAGAAGAGAAATTAGACTCATAATCCAACAAAGTTGATATTATATGATTCTTTAATTAATTGAATTAAACATCATAAATATTTGGAACATAAGAAAGAAAATTAAGATAATATAGACTCTGCTAGATTACGAGTCTATATCTTAACTAAAAAGAGGAACTAAACTCATAATCAAGCAAAGTCGAAATCATATGCTTCTTTAATTAATTGAATTGAATCTCGTAAATATTTGGAATATAAGATCCAAAACCAAGATGATATTGACTTTGTTAGATTAGGAGTCTATATCTCAATTAAAGGGAGAAACTAGACTCATAATTTAACAAAATTGAAATTATACAACTCTTTAATTAATTAAATTAAATCTAATAAATATTTAGAATATAAGATCGAAAGTCAAGATAATATCGACTTTGTTAGATTATGTGTTTATCTCAATTAAAGAGAAAAGTTAGACTCATAATCCAACAAGGTCGAAATTATATGATTCTTTAATCAATTGAACTGAATCTCATAAATATTTAGAATATAAGATTGAAAGTCAAAATAATATCGACTTTGCTAGATTATGAGTCTATATCTCAATTACGGAGATAAACCAGACTCATAATCCAGCAAAGTCGGAATTATATGACTCTTTGATTAATCGAGCATAATCGACTTTGATCAATCTAATTTTACTTGAACAAGCGTTCGCCCTTAATTGAGTGTCAAAATAATTTTGACTTTGCTGAATCATGAGTCTAGCTTTCTCTATATTTTCATAGAATGATTAATCTATAGAACAACGAAAATGAAATGAAAGCTAGACTCATAACCCAGCAAAGTCGAAATTAAACTAACAAAATATATAGGAGAAAAATACATGAAGAAAGGAAAACAAATAGGCTATATTGGCTAGCACCCCTTATCTTTTTAAGAATAGGGAGACGAGAAGTAAATCATGTGTATTTATAAGCTTCAAAGTATATTGAATTTAAGGGTTAGCCTAATAGTTTATAGATTTTCCACAAATGAAAATTACTTGGTATTTGCCTATGTTTTTTTCCCACTTTCTTTGATGGCAAAAAGTCAAGCTTTTTACACTTATACCAAACACATTAGACCAAAACTTAAATAATTTCACAGCAATTGCTAAAGCATCGCCATCTCAATAATCTTTGGTAACTATTACAAATCACCATAAAGGCTTGATTGAGCATGACTCGGATGAGGTACAGAAATAAAAATATTTATGGGTCAAGTTGAATTGGATTTAAATTTTTACTTAATTATATTATTCTAGAAGGATTTTTCGATTCTTTTAAAATAAGTATGTAAATATCGTCTGCTGAACAATTAAACATCATAAAAATATATTTGAATTTTCAAACAATATTAAAAAATTAAATTTTAAATAATTGCTACTACTCCTAAGCTAAATACTTTTTTTCTTTACTTTGTATTGAGATAACAAAGTGGTCATCTAAAGGCCTCGTTAAAAACCTCTCTAAGTCTATACAGAGGAAACCAAATAGAAGAATACAATGTACAACCACTAGAGACCAAAATACATGGCAAATACACAAATCAGTAGCTATATACATAAGCAACCTATCGGATCAAAACACAACAATCTTATAAAGTAGCGCCTGCGCATGACTGAATGGACCAAAACAGAAGCATATAAACTGGTCTAAAACTGGGCAATAACATCCCTGGGCAGAAACATACAGCAGTGAACAAGCAGCGAAATTCTGATTTTAAACACCACCTACAATTGCTTCCGGGTTACACACGAAATCATTCACTACTGGAACCAAAAGCGGCCACAAGTAATTCGCCCATAAACCAATCTGCAGCTTAACTCTGTGAAAAATCTGATCCGACGAGAAAGACACCCCATTAAATCTGGTAAGATTTCTGCAAACCCAAATGACCCACAGCAGTCCAAAAAAACCAAGAATCCAAATATTTCGATACTTCCTCCTTATTTTTTGAGAAAACCAAACCAGCAGTAGTTGTTTAACATCTATTGGAAACACCATGTTTACATTCCACGCTCTATTCCAACTTTGCCAAACTACCCAGGTTACATCACAATGACAAAGAACGTGGTTGATTGCTTCCATCTCCCTTTTACAGAACAGTCAATTAACCTAAAAAATGGTTAAAAAACGGCGTGACCGGTTAAACAAGTGACCGGTTAAAATTTAGACTGGTTATATTATATCATTTAACCAGAAATATGATCAAGTACAATAATATATTAGGTAGCGCTTATATAATGTAATAGATAACGCTTATTTTAACCTATTTTCTAACTAAACAAGTATATTTAAACCTGTAACATTGCAAATTTATATATTACATTATAATTATCGGTTTTGATGTTTTTGGGATTAATACAATTTTAAATGTATCGACACTTTATGCTTGCACCTCGTTGTGCTTTCATTTTGGGAAAAAAAAGTATCGACACATATTTAAAGAGTGTTGATACATAATGTAAATCTATTTGCTAATTAACCAGTATATTTTTACCGGTTATATTGTAAATTTACCTGTTACATAATAATTATCGATTTCGATATTTTTTGAATCGATATTTTTCATAAATGCATCGACACTTATACGTGCACCAGTTTGAGTTCTTCAATCGTAAGTTTATTCTTTAAGAAACTAAAATTGGCATAACTTTATCCTATGGAGATAATAAGAGTATATCATAAGTTTGCGTTAAGAGATGTTTGTTTCTGGATTTTTGTTATTTAAGAAACTGATAACATGGTAGGTTTCCCAATGTTATTTTTTTGTTATTGCAAAGTTTTTGTTATTTTCTTACTGGGTTTTGCTTAAAATATCCAACTTTTTGTATTAAAAATGAAAATTCTGAAATAAAAATGAGCACACAAGCAAACTTTTTTACTACCGGTTTTGTCATTTCGAGATCGATTTTGTCATATTTTTACTTGTTATATTGTTATGGATCGATACATTTTTATAAATCGATACTTTATTAGCGCTATAACTTCTTTTCTTTTAAATTCCAAAAGTGTCGATACTTATAATAAAGTATCGACACTATCAACATATCCGGTAGCTCTTTACCGGTTTTGTCATTTCGAGACCGGTTTTGTCATATTTTTACATGTTATATTTTTATGGATCGATACATTTTTATAAAGTGTCGACACTTTATTAGCGCTATAACTTCTTCTCTTTTAAATTCTAAAAGTGTCGATACTTATAATAAAGTATTGACACTATCAACATATCCGATAGCGCTTTACATGTTTTGTCATTTATAGACCGGTTTTGTCATTTTTTTACCTGTTTTATTGTTATGGATCGATGCATTTTTATAAAGTATCGACACTATCAATATATCTGGTAGCGCTTTACCTGTTTTGTCATTTATATACCGATTTTGTCATTTTTTTACCTGTTATATTGTTATGGATCTATATATTTTTATAAAGTATCGACACTTTCAATATATCCGGTAGCGCTTTACCTGTTTTGTCATTTATAGACCGGTTTTGTCATTTTTTTTATCTGTTATATTGTTATGGATCGATACATTTTTATAAAGTATCAACACTTTCAATATATCCGGTAGCGCTTTACCTGTTTTGTCATTTATAGACCGATTTTGTCATTTTTTTACCTATTATATTATTATGGATAGATACATTTTTATAAAGTATCGACACTTTTAATATATTTGGTATCGCTTTACCTGTTTTGTCATTTATAGATCGGTTTTGTCATTTTTTTTACTTGTTATATTGTTATGAATCAATATATTTTTATAAAGTATCGACACAAACCGACAAGCTAAGTTTGCCAGTTGCCAAATTTTTTAATATTTCTTCATGATTTCCACCTATTACATTATTATTACTCGATATTTCCGATAACACTAAACCAAATTTATCAAATATCTTTTAATATATCTGATAACACCATATATTAACCGTATATTAATTCACATTTCCGGAGACAATCCTGTATTCTGACTGATTAAT